TACCACTTTATGTCGCACTCTCGCCCTCTCTCCTTCCTTTTCTGACTTTCATTTTTTTTTTTTTTTTTTTTCCCCGTGGGGAGTCTGCAGCCGACGGGGCTGTGACTGTTAATTCATTATTTGTGTTATTGCACAAGGGGAAAGAGGAGACGGCTTCCTTTTACCTTATAGATTGGAAGATTTATACGTGGTTGTGCTGTTAGGCCTGAGAGGAATGGATATGTGGAGGATGGCTTGTTAACAGTGACCTTACAAAGTGGAAGGAAAGCTTGTATTTCCATCAAGCACACACCCACACACACACACACACACACACATACGTATGTTTAGGCCCAAGCAGAGGTCCTCATCTTTCAAGACACACTTATAGTTGAAGACCAACTTTACATAATACCTCCTGGACACGGAGACACGTACAGCCTCCCATGAACACGTTTGAAAACGGTGACTGCAGGTGAAAATTTATAGTTTCCCCCCGGATTGTGTTTTTCAAATTAAAGTCAAGTCCATCATCCTGGTTGGAGGTGAATTTACTGGCCCACTGTGACATCTTTGTTGCCCATGTTTTTAATATGGCTTTGAGTCAAAGTCCAGAATCACAAGTGTAATTAAAATGTCAAATGGGGAAACACTGAAAAAAAAAATCATCTTTTTCATCATCAGTCTTTTTCCTTTTAAGAGGTGATGTTCTTAATTTTTACAGAATACTTAAGTACAGTTGATGCCAAAAATAATTACTGGATACCAGGATAGGTCAAGATATATTTTTTAAAAACATTTGCTTTTAAACAAAATTTTCTAAAGTTGATTAATAGGATTAGGAGCTAAGCTAAATAAAGTAAGCAATCCACATATATGGTTTTTAAGAAAACTCTCTCTTTATATTGTCCTTTAACTGTACAGTATATACATTATATGTGTTTTTTAAAGACACAGTTGGAGTCAGTAAAGTCTGACTTTTCCTTGGATTCCACATAAAGAGGGAGGAATAATAAATCTTTTACTGCCGGTCACCTTCTGTATATCAAACTATTTTTAGCTGCTCCTGATTGTTTCTGCAGATGGGCAGCGAGGGCCTTTTGGCCATCGCTGAAATCTCCTCTTAAAGAGGCCACGCAGTTCATTTCTGGCCAAAGTGCTTTAGCGTACCTGCCTCCTCGTATTTACCCTGCAAACAGAAATCTACAGAAGGTTGTTATTGTTTTAACATCCTTTATGAATCGCTTCCTTCCTGTGAATGTAACAGATTGGCCGTTTCTTTGGAGTGATTGATCCTGTTCTCATGAGGAGCCTGAACGACTCCCTGTTCACCCTGAAGCAAACCTTCGACTACCAGTCCCTCTGTGATCCGAAGAAGGAGAGCAAGGCTGCAGCTGGGCTCAGATCTGTCTATGTGGTGGGTTACATAAGCCAGGGATCAAACACACACACACACACACACACACACACACAGTTTTATGTGTTTTTGAGCACCTCACATACACGTAATGCAGTACCCTGCCTCTTACCTTAACTATTACGAACAAATACACTAACAACAAGTGTAGATTTTCTCACTTACGCACTGCAGTTGGTTTTTGTGCTTAAAATACTTCATATTTCTTGTGTTTAATTTTGTGTCTTCAAAGTGTTAGTGAGTTCCAGGTGAAGTACCTGAAAGGTGTGAAATGCTTTTCTTTTTTTCTTTTTTTTGCTTTTTCTGCAGGTATAGTCACTAAAAAAGTTGATGCAATACTAACGTTTAGGAGCTGGTGGTTAGTTTAATATAGAAGAAATATGCGGAAAATGTTATTTTAAAGTAAAAACACTTCAGGAATAATTCTGAAGCAAAAGTACTAAAAACACCCACAATTAGCTAAAAGGTTAGCTGAAACATACTTTTTAAAAAAAAGTTCAATGGTTTCCGAAAAATAACCAAACTTCTAACACAAGCAGTTTTTTTTTTAAATATCAGTTGTAGTCAAGAACCTCTTGTGACTATTAACTAAGCAAGAAAGTGTGATAAAATAATGAAAACTTTAGTTAAAATTGAACTATTTTAGCTCTTAATTAATCTCTAATGTGTGGCCAAAAGTTAGTCATTTTAAAGGCTGCCATTAGCCAAAGCATTACATTGCACAATATAAAATTGAATTTAACATAAAATAAACAAAAACAGCAAATGTTATTTACACAAGTAAATAAAGGTGATTCAAGAAAAAAAAATAGCCTTTAGACAGAAATGAAAATAGCCTTAAAAGTGACTATAAATAAAGCGGAAATTACAAATTGTTAGCCATTATAGCTAAAAGCTGTAGAACATCGAGGAACAAGCTGTAAAACGAGGCTTGAAGTTCTTGAAAAAAGGTGCTTGGATTTTTGCTTTGAAAAGGTGTTCGAGTCCCTTTAAAGCCATACGTCTACATACATGTTCACACATTTTGATGTCCACACTATCATGAGCACAGATGCCGGGACACATGTAACCTTTTTTTTTTTTTTTTTACTTATTACTGCTTCCTAGCACTCTCCCAAGAGGTCAGACACACACACACACACACACACACACATATACAGGCAGCATTCCTCAGCAGGGAAACATAAATCAGTGCGGAGCAGATGGGAAGGGTAGCAGAGGGTATGGTGAAAGCGTTAGAGTAGGAGTCAGAGCAACAGTAACAGGATTAGGTGGTCTGCCGTGCTTGGCCAACACACTACAAGGGATGTAAAAAAAAAAAAAAAATTGGGGGCGCTGTTTTTCATCACTCGCAGAATGAACAACGTGCGCTGAAGTCATGCAAACTGTCAACAGACTTTTCACCAACTCTGATCCATTTGTCTAAAACCTGAAAGGTTGACATCAGCGCTGCGGCCCATGTGGACTTTATACAAGCGCAAACAACAAAACCACACTAATAGACAAACCTCATCGTCTCTCAAAGGACAGCACTTACTGTACGTCAGCCACATCCAAAGTCTGGCCGGGGTCCAATAGTCGCCCCCCATGACAGCTTTTATGGCACTGCAGTGTCTCCTTGTTAAATGTATTTATTTTTAATTTTTTTGTTTGGTCATTAGGAGTGAAAGGATTGTGGCTTTTTTTATAATTTTGAGCTGTTTCTTCTTGTAGGTATCTACACTATTACAAATAGTTTGGTCGTTAGGAGTGAAAGGATTGTGGCTAATCTTTGCAGTCTCTTCTTGGCTGATTGCAATCTCTGTTTTTTTTTATAATTTTGAGCTGTTTCTCCTTGTCGCTAACTTGTAGGTATCTACACTATTACAAATATTCACTAATATGAACCTTTTTGACAAACATTTAGCTTTTTCCCAGCTAATTTAATTCAAGATATTTTGTAAATATTCCACATTCTTTAGATATTATCTTCTAAATATCAGCCTTGGCTACTTTTAGCAGCATCTTGGCACGGCTGTAATGGTTCGTTTTTGTCACTTTCTTGGCTAAGGTTTTGTAGCTTTAAGCTAGTACGCTGTCAGCGCTAAGCCATTTGGCTAACCCTAAGCCGTTTTACATTTTTTTTGTTTTCCTTCCATATTCTTGATGCATATTAACTGTTTCTGAAATAACTTTTAGTTAGTGAATAGTAATATAATTATATATTAAATTTTAGCTTTTTTTTCTAGCAAAGTAGCATAGCTTTTAACAAGCATTTAGCAAAAATTTTCTAGCAAAATAGCATAGCTTTTAACAAGCATTTAGCATGGTCTGGCATGCTAGCTTTTTTTCTTTGCTAACAGCAAACTCATTGTGTGTTTTTCCACTAACAATGATTTCAAAAGGCCTCGTCATGCTTCCCACACTCCGTGGTGGAAATACGTCTGAATTTGAATGTTTTACATGAAAATGAAAAAAGCTTGGACACCCCTGACGTAGGCCCAAACAACTGCCCCCACTTTCAGACAAACCTCATCATTTTCCAGTGCGGAGACCCTACTGTATGTAAACAGTGTGACATGGTTGGATAGAAGACAAAGCTCCTGATCAAAGCTGCTGTCAAGAGCCCCCGATGGCTCTAACACGGTTAGTTAGAAGTTGTTGATGATTCAAACACCGCAGCCACTGAACAGAGAGGATGCAGCAGCGATTCACCAAACAAGGGACTCGCATGCTAAGCTTAATCAAAGCAACATGTTGAGCCTTTTATTCAAACCGTGTGCTACTTTGTTTTCTCACTGGCTCCGTGTTTAGATATCTATCCTAACATCTGCTGAAGAGGATTGTGTTCGGACTTCCTCCGAGTTGGAGGAAAATAAAATAAAATATAAAAATCTCTGGCTTGAGCTTTGGCTCTCTGTGTGCGAGCCTCAACTGGACAGCCACTGCAAACATGAGCTGGGATATTCACTGTGGTTTAAGTAGATTAAGGCCATTTGTGAGATGATTTAACACCAGGCGTCTCCAACTCCCGTTGTTTGGCCAGGTTTTATGTGGCCACAACCTTTTTTCATCAGCTTTCTTACATTTGCTGGTCCTCTGGAACATGTGTGAGGTGCATTTTGAATTGCCCATCTATTTCCTGATAGACATCTTAGCTAACTCGTTAACTAGCAAGCTATTTCTGCTGTGCTTTTAGAAATGAGCTAATTGATTTATTGTTTTTACATCAAATTTAGCCTCTTTGACTTATTCAGCCCACTAGCTGTTAATTTTATAATAGTTTCTTTTGTTGCATTGACCTTATGAGCATACTTTTAGTTATCATTTTGGCTAACTTAGAGCAGTGGTTATGGCACAGTCATGAATGCTAACAAGTTGCTAATTGACAATTTTTTTGGGTTACTTAGTGAAAATCATGGCTAACAATTCTCTTTTTCATAACATTGACAATTTTTTTGGGTTACTTGAAAATCATGGCTAACAATTCTCTTTTTATTTCTATTTAAATTTAAGCCAAGTGGAGTCAACTTTGGTTTATTTTGCCATTAGCTCTGTCTGCTGTACTGACATGTAGCCATTTTGTTGGTTTATTAGCAATTTAGCCAAGTGAGTGAAAATAAGCTCCTTATTATTTTTGTTGCTATTTGATTTAAAAAGTTGATAATTTAATTATTGTCTGAACCTCACTGTTGTTCTGTTTTGTCCCTCTTAGCCCACAATAGCAGATATCTTGAATGTAGGATGGTGGGCCACAGCTGCAGCATGGTGAGACCTTTTTTATTTTTCTCACTTTACAAACATGGTTTTCATCAGAATCATTTCGTTTGTGGGTTTTGTTTGTTTTTTTGTTTTAAAATAACACAGTATAAGAACTTGTATCCTCAGATTGTAATGAGAAACAGACAAACTCCTTAAAAATGCATGTATAGCATCTGTTTAATAGCTGAAATATTCCCAAGACGTTACAACATTCCAGGAGATCCTCTCCTGATTTATGCTCTGTTCCAGTGTCTTGATATCATTAACAGTGTGTTTTACATTGTGTCCAATAATATTGGAGGTTTTTTTGGTGAAGCTTAAAGATACTCTAAATAAAATTTTGTCTAGAATGCAGAAGCATGTTTGTAAGTTTAGTTTTTTTAGTTTTTTTTTATTTTTTTTTTTGCAGTAGCATCCACACAGATGGTTTTATTTTATAAAATGTTGCTGAAATTGATGTCGACATTTTCGTCAGCATTTTCACAGCGTTTTCATTTTTGGCTCACAGGTCAATACTGCAACAGATACTGGTCAGCATCACATTCCCAAACTTTTTGGACGCAGGTGAGTTTCTGTCAGTCAAAAGAGAAAAAAGCCAAAAATGTGAGATTTTTCTTCTTCTTTCTACAAACATCCTCTTCTGTGAACGTCAGACGTCTGAACAGGCATCAGATCGGTTGCCGGTTGTTTGTTTCTGAACAGAACCACACACTGAGAGCAACTATGTTGTGTTTCTTTTTTTTTTATGAACTTTTTTCATGACTCTGCAGTTCATCACTCAACAGCTCGTTACTCATTCTTCTTCATTTCTTCAGCTGCGTAGCAGTGTTTGCAGGTGATTTCTGGTGGGACGACGCATTAACATCTGATGTGTAACTTAACATGACAGATGCGTTTGTGTTTGTAATTTTATGTGGCGTGATGGCGACGATGCTTGTCAAAACATGTTTTAATGTCATTATGTTTACACCAGAATTATTGGCACAAATTGATGTGTCTGAGACAAACTGCAGGAGGTGTAATTACATTTTCGTTTATTAGGAAAGGGTTGGAAGGAACATTGACCTCAAATTGGCTAATTTAATTACTTGTACTCCATAAATAATAAGTATTAAAACTGTATGTATACTCGCGTTCGTTCAAAGTAAATGTTCTTGATCTTTTGCAGCTGAGATGGACGATGAGTTGTCTGACGCCATGCTGAAAGAGGTCTGCATCACCAAGCAAACCCAGTTTTATTTCATGAACAACAATCAGTCCTTCAGAGGAACAGTTGACTGTGAAAACTGCTCCAGGTAAGATCTTTCAGATTTTGTTTTTTTTTTTTTTTTTTGGATACCATTTCCATAATGGATCCTTGCCATGTAGATAATTATTGCTGATGGTCTTCACTTGGTTGTCCATCCATCCATCCATTTTCATCCGCTTATCCGTTACCGGGTCGCGGGGGCAGCAGTCGCCACCCAAATCACATTGCACCGTACCAAACCTTCCTGCGGGTGGTGAGTCCACTGGAAGGTACCAACCGCCCTAACCAGGATTCGAACTTGCCCAGGAGGTGAACCCTGGGGTTCCACACCAATGACAGAGACATTGCCTCTGGGCCAAAGCGCCACTCACTTGGTTGTTTAATACAAAAATGTATAAACAAATGGTTCAATAATGGGTGAATGCAGGTCTAAAGGGAAAAATTTTCATTCCAAAACCGAAAGTTGCAAAAACTCAAAGTGAGATTAAAATTGGTCCAAAACTTTGAAGAAAACTCTTAACAATGAGCCAGGGTGATACGTAAAGGCAAAAGGTATATTTTACAGCCAAGTTTTGGACCATTTTAACTCGTGTTAAAGTTTGACACCCTGAGAGTGAAGCAGATCTATCTATTAAATGTCCCAGCTCCAGCGAAGTTCAAACGTGCGTCCAGGCTGTTACCAGAAATTCTCTGGTCAAACCACAGGAGCCAGGGATCAGATCTGCTCTAACATATCATTAAATTCCTTGCACCTGATACATTAGAGACACAAATGAAGTCCCCAAAGGTGAGAGGGGCTATAAAAACCTACATGCCACGATGGTGAAGTCACCTCACCAGTGGGGATCACCGTCTGATGCACTTTAGGGTCCCCCTGTGTCGGCTAATGGAGTGCCTGCCGGCACGCCGTGTGCCATACCTCCACATTAGCAACACGCAGATTCTTTTTTCTCTCTCTCTTTACGACCCCCATAAAAAAAGCAGAGAAAATCATTTGGGCTCCATGGATGTGGATTTTCAGTGAAAGACGACAGTGGGGCAGAGGGAATATAAGAAGTTTGGGAGTGAATGGAGTCCGCAGAGTTTGTCAATGTGGTTGTAATCTCGATTCACAGAGTTTGTCAATGTGGTTGTAATCTCATCTCTAACAAAGCAACAAAGAGATCAAAGCCCATTTTAGGATAGTGGACAGTGGTAAAAAGCAGATGCTGTAATGTGGTACTGGACTTGTAGATCCCAATTTTGTTTACATTACACTCTCTGATTGTTACAGAACTGAATAAACTGTTTGTTATTTCCTATTCTTGTGTGACTTAAATTGATCAACACTCCATGGAGTATTCCATGGTCTGGACTCAAGGCAGGTCACTTAGGATGAACATTCTATGTCCATAAAACCTTTTTTTTTTTTTTTGGCCTTTCTTGTGGACAAAATTTTCTTTCATTTATATCCATCAATCCAATTTTTTTTTGGCCTTTCTTGAGGACAAAGTTTTCTTTCATTTATATCCATCAATCCATTCATCTATCTTCATCCTTCTTCATCCGTTCTGTTCCATCTGTCTCCATCCACATCTCTGTTTATCCTTTATCAATCATCACGTCCATGGACCTATCCATCCATCTCCATCCCTGCTAATTTGTATTACTAATTGATCTGCATATGGATTTTAAACCCAACCTTGTTGACGGCGTTGAAAGAATCATCTGCTCAATGTGTTTGAATTCGACCAATGGTAGCAGAGTGAAATCACGTGATTAAATGCATGTACATGATTCAGTTTAGTTCCATTTTTCCGGCTGTTCCAGACTGAGGCATTGTAAAGTTAGTGTCTTCTTCTTATTGTTCTGCTTAAATATTCAACCTTCTGCATCTCTTGTGAGTATGATTCATCGAAATTGTATCTCCATCTTTCCTGGACCACAGCCCATCTGTCAACAACTGCACTCATGCCTTGTGTGTGTGTGTGTGTGTGTGTGTGTGTGTGTGTGTGTGTGTACGTGCATCTGCTCCTTTCCAGGCTCTACCACGCTGAAAAGCTGCCCAAGACTAACTTGGTCTTTATCATCGCTGATGCGAAACTCACCTGCTCGTCCTGTGACGCCACCCTGATGAAGCAGGACGAGGAGCCGTGTATCCTTTTACCGCACACAGCTCTCATCTGGCAGGGAAACATGTGCATTTAATTTGACCAGCAGATGTTTAAGACGCTGGTGACATGAAGACATCAGCTGATATTCTTACCATTAAATGTGGGAAGCAGCAGAATTGCTGCAGATTCACTCCTCTGTATTACCTTTGGTCCAGTCTGCTAAATCCCACAAACTCTGTAAAGAGTGAGAATAAGCAGTTTACCCCTCTGGGAGGAGTGGCTGTTTCCTTTTGCAAGTGACATTTAAATTAGCTCCAGAATTCAGATGTGTCTGTGCTGTGTCCTGCTCCAAGTCTGTATTGCACATGACAGTTGTGGGATAATTCTGCATCACAGCTGAGAAACAATTGTGTGATCTATTCTCTGAACCTCACATGGCTGTGCTCAATTAAAAAAAAAGAAGTCTGGTGCAACAAACAATGCTAGAAAATGCCTTCCACATCACGGGTTTATTGACCAATCTGTTCATAATCAGGAGATAAGAGAAACAACAAGGGATGGGACTCAGGAACCGTTTTTTTTCCAAGGAAGGTTTTCAAAACCGTCCTAATTCCTAGAGTCGTTGGTTTGATTGCATAAACTTACCGTTGATTGGGATTGTTGACAACATGGTGTCAAGGCAGAAGCAGTCGGCAGTGTAGAAGACGCCGTGTCCATCCCCTGTAATTACATTTAGATGAGGAGGAAAGGTTTGGGCTGCCTCCAGTCAAGTGTGTGACTAAGTGGATTCACCATCAAAGTCACCCATACTATTTTTTTTACATTTCAAAACCCCTATGTCTTTTAAAGGCTTCAGTCTAGTTCAGTTTTATAAATTAAATTGTGTTTTATGTTAACATATATTTTATATTATTCTGCAGTTTTAATTTTGTCAGAAATTGCAACTATCCTGAAAATGAGAAAAAAAAAGAAACTCTGTTAGGTTCCTGACCTCACAAATTCAGCTGAAGGCCCAGATCCCTGTGAAATGGCTCTGAATCCTCGGTACAGGAAAGGACCTGCAGTCTGTTTCGACAAAAACGAACATGTAAGTTTGCTTTCGTCAGACTCTACGCCGATTACTGTTCATATGACTTTTAACTGCGTAACTGTGTTGGTACCCATCCATAGTTTGATTGTGCCAAGCTGCTGAGTGATGACACAGGTATGCAACCTGGGTTTACAGTTAAAATCTCCTGAGAAATTCCAAGGAAAAATCATAGGAATGAGTTTGAAGTAGTTGGAGGTAAAAGTTAGGTTCAAGTGAAGTCTTTGTGACTTAGAAACTAGACTAAAACCATCATGTCGTTGGTAATAATGATTTTATTTTAATAAAAGCAAAGCATAGTCTTCAGTCTCCACTTTATTAGGCACACATGTCCAACTGCTACTCATTGCAGATATCTAATCAGACAGTTCCTTGGCAGAAATACATGATAATGACGCACTCCTGAAGTTCAAGCCCAGCATCAAAATAATGGAAGAAGATGATTTAGAAAGGTGACATTGTACATGACATGGTTCCTTCTACCAGACAAAATGGTTCAGGTTCACATGCTGCTGATGTACTGGGACCATGTACTGTAGAAGCAGGAATCCACCCTGGATTGTACCAACAAGAGAGCAGACCAAGGTTGTATCTAATGAAGTGGGATGTGAGTGATAAACTATAATGTTATTGATAACAGACATGATTCTCACTGTGGAGTCAGAAATCTTTATGGAACGCTGCTGTTTCTTAACCAGCACCAAAGTCTTTTTTTCAGCAGGGGGCAGTAATGAAGTATTCATTTTTCACCACTAACCTATTAGCTAAAGTTTCACGTACCTCACATGCGAATGTAAACCAGGCTTCACCAAACAGAACCATTCATATAAGACATTAAGAATTCAACATCTAAAAAGCTAAGACGTGTAAATACTTACAGGAAGGTTGTGGTTTTATTGTCGGAAACCCGATTAGTAGCGCCCTCTTTGTTTTTAACCACCAATTACTTTATAGCATCAATGAGGAGTACACCATTACTCCTGAAAGTACATGGAAAAGAAGGAAAACAGAAAAGAAGACGGCAGTTTTGTTAAACGTATTAGTTATGACATCGTCTAATTCAGAGCAGCTGAAACACAGTTGGATGTCATTTCCGTGCTAACAGATATTTTGTAAATAAATAAACAGTTGTGGCTTGAGGTTTGGTTTGACTTAGCCCCCCCACACGTTCCTTTGAGTCCCATGAAACACCCTTGATGAGACGGATCAATCAATCTCAATCAGAACAAAGGTAGGAAGGAAAGATCATCACAAATTCAAGGTTGAAAACGTTACATTTCTTATCATGCCTTGGGTTTTTTTAATTATTTATACCCCCTGAGTACCTGCTAGTGGGGTTAGTTTCCAGATCTGTTTTTATAATGGAGAAGCATCTTGATGTATTTAGACATTTCATCTGGCAAATAACAGGATACAACGGAAACCTAACCCTTAAACTTCTAATATAGAAAAGTTTGACTTTGCACGACAAAATCTTACTCATATCCTTTAAGATATCTGCACATGGTTCATGCATTATTATTATTATTGTGATTGTTATTATTATTATTATCTGATACTACTTTCTGACTAAAGTGCCAACAGGCAAGGATATACATATGATGGAGATTATAGCCTCAACTTGTAAAGAGTTATAAATTATTTATTTTTAAAAAGAACATGATTCGAATCAGTTGTCTAAGTAGAAATGTAGAACCAGGCAGGATGTGTAGCAGGTTGGGTGGATAAAGGATAGAAATAGAAATGCAAACAAAGAGTTGTTGGAAACGTTTTAGGAGAAAATGTGAAAATGTGTATTCCCTAAAATCAGTTTTTAAACTGTTTTAAAATTAGCTGAATTTTCTTCCAAAGAAAATGTTGGCTTTATGTAGTAGACAATTAATTTTCTTACAAATAACCAGCTTTACTTAGATACCGTTTTGCAGTGAACTTAGTCAGAGAAGCAGTAAAAAAAAAAAATAGTGTGTTTATTTTCGTGATGGAGATGAAGCTGCCAGACTGAAGGAGAAGAGTCGTAAAATTAGTGAGGGGGCAAGAAGACTGTTGTTGTAACAGTAGAGGAGACATGGGAGGGGTGGACGTAGACGTTCCACTGTGGTGACCCCTGACGACAGCAGCAGCTAAGGAAGGCTGATTGTGCAACCTTTCCAAATTCCTTGAAAGCTGTATACACGTTCAAGTTTCCCATGTGAAGACAAACACTTAGTTGTTGCCCTGCTTACGAATAAGTCAGCTAAGCAAACGTTTTAATGAGAATCAATGCGTGTGAAACCTCCATGCTGCATTACTATGTTTATTTTCACTGAGTACTTGTTTCCCAATGTCCAAGTTTTCCATTCTAATGACTTAACTGCGGCCTCTGCGCTGTCTTCCTCACCCACACGCACAAACAACCACCCACGCACTAACTCCATCTTACCCTCCTGTCCCAGGAGTGACTGCATGTCCTGTTCTACTACAACTGTATCTACTTAAAGAATACCTTCTACCTTTATCTGCTCACGTTGGCTTCCTAACTTTCTAACTGCTGACTGTTATGGACCTTTTTCGCTGCATGATTCTCTTTTTTCTCTCTGTTTTCTCTCTTCGTTTCCTGCTCTGTGATTGGCTGTTGATGGTTAGGATGAGGCCATGTGCGAAAGGAGCGAAGGCTCCCCATTGGTTTCCTCTCTGCTCATGTTACTGCTGCCACTGTTCATGTGCTGTCTCGGGTCAGTCCCATAACACTAGCTCTCTCCTTCTTTCTATCATCGACATTTAAAGGTCCAGTGGGTAACATTCCATAGTGTTTCTTGGCATATATTGAGCACACTACTTTATGCTTGTTTGTACTGTATATATGTGTGTAAATCATTTTCACATCATTGTTCTGTGTCTGTAGGCTTACATTAACTGAAGGTACAAGAAACTGCAAATACACAAACTGCAGCGTAGCATGGTCAAGGTGCAGTACCACATCTTGCCAATAGGGGCTGAGGCAGTTAAGTTGCACATAAAGTCTGATGGGATCTGTTAAAGCATGAGTCAAAACGTTAATATGAAAAGCTAAAAATTGCATCTGAGCGAGCTTTGGATTATTAGTTGGAGAAAACATGGGATCCAGCAGGGGTCACTATTAGCATATTCCAGCTGTATCACTGTCCATTTAGTTATGAGGCAAGCTTAACAGTATGAGTAAGGCATTTGAAAAATAAATGTGAAAAATAAGTGTTACTCAATGACTAATAAATCTCCTGTGCCGATCATGCTGCTAATTAGCTGTAGTATTCTTAAGGACTGTTAGCAAGTATATTTAACATTTTCATTATATGTATTTAGGGGACTAAAACAAAATAACTCACAAACTTGTTTTAAACACCAATGGTGGATTGGATGCTGCATTCTACAAAACCACCATTAGATGTCACTCATGGTTACACACTGGACCTTTATTCAGGAACCTGTGGTCAATCTAACAGTGTTTAATATTAACCTTTTGCTGCTTTTCCCCCTCATTTACTCAACACACACTTAGTCTCATATCGTTGTTTGTTCAGCGTTTTATTCCCGTTCATTGTAATGCATTCCTCTTTAATGGTTTTCCTTCATTTGTCTTCACCTTCCCGACTTTATGTCCTGTCTCTTCCTCGTCCTTGCCAGAATGCCTTGTCAGCCATAACTTTGAACTTCCAGCTCTGCTCTTTGTAGCCGTCCCCATCCATCATTGTCTGTCTCAGAAACGAGACTCACGTCTGTCTCTTTGGCATCTGAAAAAGTGATGTCAGTAGACCCTCGCTGACACAGAGCTCTGCACTTCTCATTTGCATCATAGTGTGTCTTCTTATGATTACAAACCATTATCAGCTTCATCAATAATGCTGTTGAATATACAATTGGCTAAGGCGGATGATTCTATCACCACAGAGGTTTTTTGTTTTTTTTTTGGTTCTTCCTTTTCTTGTCTCAAATTTCACAGAACATCTGCTCCAAATTCCAACCTGATAAGATAAAGCAGACATGATTGACATGTAGGTGGCCCATGATGTCACCCTTGTCTACAATCAGATAGCATGTGGCTGTGGGCTACTTACGGGAAATGGCACAGAACCCCTTCCTTTCATCTGGTCCAGGCAAAGTAGAAAGGACACTGACATAATCTACATGTAACAATTGTTTTAAAAAAAAAAAAGGCTAGTTTTGTTTTTCTAGTATTTTTGCTGGTATGCAGCATCATAAAGTGTGGTCTGGACCAGTTCTGTACCATATGAAATGTCCCACCTAGGACTTAAACCCGAACGTATTAGAGCCCCCAAGTGGCCCACATTAACAAAAATCCACATTAAAATTCCTGCAGCCCACGTCTGATCTACTACTAATGTGGACTAATATATGAATAAATATTTGGTGCTAAGTTGCTAGGCAACACGTGTTCTGTCTCAGTCCAAACACTAGTTAATTAAACAATGCCTGTGGCAGGTTGCCAATATTTCCTTTCCTTTCTTTAGAATCCATAAACTGCTGGCTTTAGCAAATTGCTTTCTAAAGGTCACTGTATGAGTTTTGATGTTTTAATAAAATATTTTTCTTCCTTCGCTCGGCACCAGGAGGAAGATCCTGACTGTGGTGGAGCATCTGGTCTGAGTCCCTCACTTTCATTAATGGTGGCTCTTCAGCTGATACTGCTCTGGGTCCTGAACGGATCCAGAAACCTGGCTGTTCCGTCATGACCTCCGAAAAATCCAATCACACCCTCAACCACTGAATCTGTAACACTGCAACCAGCATGCAATGCTGCCACCCAATCACGAATGCCCAACTTGTGGAGAAGTTACCTGATTTAAAAAAAAAAAAAAAGAAAAGCCTGAATGTTTTTTTCCAGTCTTTTGTTGTCCAGTCTGGACATGGAGGTGAGGAATAACGAAGACTCCGTCCATCGTCCCTGTGACAATGCAGTTAAAGGTGAACTTTTCTTGACTTGATGTCACAAAGGAGATTGGATTGCCTTACAGTATCTTAGGGATACGATCCCAATGGAACCTTTTTTTTTTTTCTTTTTTTTTTTTGCAGTTTAAATCACCACTGTCATAAACTCATTTTTGCTTTTTTGTCAACTGTAACTTAATTTATTTGTTTTTATTTATTTTTGATCTATAATTAGGCTAAGATTGCGTTAAATTATGCCAACATTTTTTACACATAGCAATTTTTATTTACTATTCAAATGCCTTAGTTGGGTTACTGAAGAATAATATTTTCTCAATCTGTTTTTTAGACAGTAACATCTTCAACATTTTTACATTTTTTTAAAAAAAACATTATTATGTTTAGGCAACAAAACCGTCAATGAAACCACCTGCCACAAATGACCTGCTTCATGCGTCTCGGGGCTCACTGTCCTCCGACCCCCTCCCCCTACCAAAAATTAGCTCCAATCAAGAGTCATTATCATCTTGATTTTTTTATTTTTTTTTAAATTATTTTCTTAGTGTCGGTGTTGGATGTTCTCCAGAGAAATCTTTGCTGCCATATCCCACGTCAACCAATCAGGACAAAGCTGGCAGGTGCCCTCCTTGTGCTCAGTGGACAAAATCTCTAGTGCCATGTGGACTGTGTGACTGAGACAAACCCGTTGAGCTTTGCAACATGAAATGGGTCGAAGTGTAGTATTTTATTTATATTGACTTAATTATTGTGGTTTGACTGAAGCGTCGGGGCAGCATGCTACTGTGTGTGTTTTTTGGCCATGGATTATAGAAGAGTTTGTTGAAGCTGATTGGCTTGTGTTCGCTGCTGTCAGTTTTTTTTTTTTTTAATTTATTTATTTGAAAGACTGTTGTCTGCACAGCAGTTCATTCTGCAGCTGATCTTTATCTCTACAGTGTGACGTTCTAGCTGAGGAAACCAGTCATTGTCCTTGTCTAAAATTCTGAGGATCCTCTGACATTGGCTCAACATCAGTTCTCTTGATCTTCAACCACAAATGCTGGCTGTGAACCTTCTAGTGCGCGCCACCTGTTTTTTTGTTTTTGGTATGACAATGTCTTCAGGTAAACGGTAATTGACAGTCTGTACCTTTTTAGCCCTGATGACTGTACTCCAAGTGCTTTACGCTCCAGGTTTGTCATGAGTCTGTTGACAGCTGAGGCCGGCAGAAACGGGTTGGCGGACAAGTTTTTTGTCATTTTTCACCAAGACTAAACTCCTAAACGCTTGGATTAAAAGACAACTGCACTACCTACTGATGTATTCTGATTTTTAATTTCGAGGTTATGTAGACTCAAATACCACTGTATACAGTAGGATCAGGGCTGTAGCACCTGCAGGCACAAGTCGTATTGTTGTGATCGATAGTAGCGCTTGTTCTCAAGAAGAATAGTGTGAAGGATGAAGGCTCTGCTGCCATGTATTGTGATTGCAATGGTTTAAAGGCAAACAAAACACGAGTGAGGTTTCAGTCCATGTGATAAACCCAAGAAGTAGAGGTTTGTCCCTGGCATGCTGTACAGGGTTGGCGTGATTTGCTCTCTGGTTCCCATGATCCTCTGCTATTTGCACTGTTTGTGGTTCAACATCTACAAGGATGATTCCTTGGGCCAGTGCTCATCTCCATTGCATAAACATGAAACACCCCAAAGATGTGTCAAAAAACCTGTTGTTTCATTGGGATTTTTTTTTCTTTCTTCACATCACTCTAAATCTGCGTTTTCCAAACTTTTTTTTTAACCATGACACCTATTTTGCATCGGAAAAATCCTGCAGCACACCATTTAACACAATTTCAATTTACTCAAAACTTTCTTACCGGCCCTGTTTAGTGGAACACGGTAAATAATAATGGCAGGAATAGAAGAAAGACACAAAGATCTTCCACTGCTTATTGCTCATTGCTAATGACACTCAACTTAATCTTGCAATTTTTTCTAGTATTTCTTCATGACAGGAGCGTCTGCTCTTAGTAAAGGACACAGAACAATACACATTGTCAAATCAGATCAGTGTCTGCTCTTAGTAAAGGACACAGTGACTAGATGTCACACAGAATTAAAGAAAATCAAATTCCTCAATCATAGTGCGATAGAAATAATGACACAAGGCATTGCGTCACCTTGTTCGTCTTCTCTTATCCACATGTGAATCATTTGAACGTGCCACAAATCCTGGCTTCAGAAAATGTCACTTTTATACCATCCTAGCTAAACATATTTAGCACCTTTAACGTCAACAAGCGATAATACGCTACAATCGGAATCTTATTTACTGTATTTGCATAGTGACAACTTAACAATACACATTGTCAAATCAGATCAGATGACATCTGTATAATTCACCAGAAAAAAGATAGTCATCTGCGTCGAGTTCTAAATGCCTCAATTAGCGGGTTTTGCGGAAATCGTACAGAACGCCACTTACAGGCAAAAGCAAGGCGTCTCTTCTGAAGCGCTTATTAACATAAAAACTTGACACGTGTTTACAACAAATTTCAAATCCTGTGGGAAAGTAACAGGCCTGTAATTAAAATGAAGTGCGAGCCATTACCACAGACATTTATACCCGCCGCTGACTCGTTTTAATTTCGTAATTGCTCAGACATCACGCAGAGCATTTGTTAATCATTTGAATTCCACAGTCTGGTGGGATCACTTTCATTTCCCTGCAGAGTTCCATGTTCGTCATCAGTGTCTGTTTTAAAGTGATCAAAGTTAGAGATCAAAGTGTCTTCATCTCTACCTATAATCTATCAGCCAATACGACATGGTGACACTAACAGCGCTCCTTAAGCTTCTTTCACACTCAACTAACATGCAAGAATATCGCAAGTGCCATGATGGACTGTCTTAAAAAAAAAAAACACTATCCCACTATAAAACTTTATGCAACGGTACCAGGGCAAGTCTGTCGCCCCATGAACTCTTGTGGCTGTGCTGCATGGTTGTAGACAGTTTGTGAAACAGAGAAATGCCCGCCTGCTCCTGCTGTTGTGTGTGGTGTTGCCAAGTGTATAATGTTGTGTATAGTGGGACTGATCAGCTTCTACTGCCTTTCTCTGGGGGACACGGCGTCTGCTCAGCATGGACATCGGGCTGTGATTCATCTGATTTTTCTGCCTCTCCCCTTTTGCAGACAGGACTGTTGTTGATACACGTTTGCTTCAGAACTGCACCATTCATCATTTCAAACAATAATTCCTACGCAAATTCTCATTGAACTCAACCCACCGTGCCCCGCAGTGATAGCTCCCCATGCCAGGCAGGGGCCCGCCCCACCACTTTGGACCACCATTAACTTAGATAGTATGGTCCAATTTTAATATAAGGTGATGATTCATGATTATAATATTACATCAAATGTCGTATTAATGACGAAAGGAAGAAAAAAGAAAGAAGAAAGTCTTAAACTAACGAAGTGAAAAGTTAGAACGTGAAGAGTGAAAAAAAAGTATGCATAAACTGTATACAGTATATACAGTGTACAATAAACACACATACATATATTCTGTATATGAAAACCTAAATAGTTGAAACAGATAAAAAGTCAAAATTGATATATTAATATTTCCAAATCCTTGATATTAGAAGTACTACATACTTCAGTACTTGTTTTATTTAAGGCTTCAAAGCTTTGAATAAAAGCTGCCTCAGCGATAGTTCGAGCCGTTTCACCACTGTGCAGTATTTGTTTTCGTTGTCATGTTTGGAAATGTCGACTTGCCTCGATTAATCGTGATTAATCACAATTATGGTTAATTGTGATTAATCATTAACAATCTAATTCAAAGAAAGACAGCTTTACTTTTTCTTTCTTCTCACAATTGAATCCTCATCTGATTCAACCTTCAGCTTCTCTCTTTTTTTTGTTTTTTTCTTTTAAGGTAAACAGACCCTAAAATGCTTCGCTCAGATGCTGTCGCCTCCAAAAAAAAAAAAAAAGTTTGACTCGTAACGTAATACAAAGTGTTTCTGATTCTGTCGGTGCTCTCTCTCTCTCTCTTTCTCTCTCTCTCTCTCTGGTTCATATGAATTGCTTGTGTGTGGGTGATATTTTATGTGTGCTGCCACCTTGTGGCAGACAGTTGGCAGGCCTGTCTGTCAGCTGGTTTTTTCTCATACATCGTACGTAAGAAATGGACGTAGGTTATCTCCACCCTCCTGGTGACTACGTCCGTTGCTCGTATGCGGTTCCTGTCCGCGGTTTTTACGGCAGACTCTTGACACAGGCGTCCACCATCCATCCATCCAGACTTGGGCCCTTTTTGGTCGGCCTCTCAGTCCGTTTCCCTTGATTGTGCTTGACAATGTTTCACTCTAGAGAAACTTGATTTTTCAGAATCTGTTATGTAAAAAAAAAAAAAAATACACATGTTGTTCTCTTCACTATGGAAAAAAAAATCGTGTTTATAATCCTGGGAAGGGAAAATGTGTTTATTCATGTGCAGATAAGCTCTATCGGAATTAAAGTTTATGATTGTTATCTGGAGGCTTTTTGTGTTCTTACTGATGTTTTTCTTCACTTACAGAATATCACTTTCCTTTTCCTACCACTGCGGTGGATCACATTTCAGCCACAAACGTTTGTCCCGTTGCCAGCAGCACACATTTTCTCATCCGAATGTGTGTGAGAATGAGAAGGAAGCACCAGCAGTATGCTCTCCCAGCGTCTAGCCAACTTCACGAACCAGCGCATGGGGGCCAAAGTCAACAATGTCCAGGAAAAAGAAAGGACAGAGGAGACGGTCCAGCCCACATCACTCGACTTCATTGGATTTGGCACCAGGACGCGTCCATTAAGCACGACCTGCCGTCGGCCTCTGCTCATAAATTCCTGGTAATTCCTGTTTTCCCTGTTGCGTGTTGATCAAATAGTAAGTGACTGTCTCGTTAGTGCGCCACCGCTTTGCACTCGAACCTGAAACCAGCTGCGGTCATGTCCAGATTCTTTAAGCCACTTTACCCCCGTCTGCCCCCCAAAGACAAAACACAGGCTCGTTTTACTCTTTATTATGGACGTTAAATCTCAGCCCGGCCCTGTAGGGTACTCTGCTGGAGCAGAAATCTGAAATCTGCGGGGACAGGTGCTTCGGAGCATTTGAAATAAGACCAATTACAATGTCTTTTAATATTTGTTTTAATAAAATGGCCGGTATTGTTGGAGAAACAGCTGGAGAATGACTGCACAGAGACCAATAATGTGAAAGGGACACGGCTGAAAACGCCACCGCTAATCTTAGCTCCAGGGGTAGCGCCACTCATAAAAGTGACATTTTTGGTAAACGGCATTAGAATTTTTTTAACGTGGTTGTGTTCAGGCATTTACCAGAAATCAAGTCTCCCGTCAACATAACTTAATCTCAGAAAACCTGTGACTGTAATTTCACTTCCTGTCCATAATAAAGTGGTCATGTGTCCACACATTGAACAGGGGGGCGGGGTCTGGAGCAGATAGAGGGAGCGTTGGTGTGAACTAAGAATGACATGTAAAAGTCGTGCATAAAGGCTAACATGCTGAAATGCTTTTATCATTTTCTACGCCATCTATTGGGAAAACATGGGTATTACAGTGAAAAGGCAGAAGTAGAGTGATAATATAAATATATAATTTGGAAAGGTTTGACGGGCCAGATTAAAAAGTTGAACGGGCCACATCCGGCCCCTGGCCCTTAGTTTGCCCATGCCTGTCGTAGAGGATTGGTCACAGCAAGTTCACATTTAGCTTTTTTCCACAATAGTCTATGAGAACCGGATTCACATTTAGCTAAAGTAAAGTAAAAAAGATACTTTTTCCACAATAGTCTATGAGAACCGGCTCCTAATTATTTAGTTTCAGATTTTTTTTTCTTTTCAACAAACACTACATACTTCGTAGTACATAAAGTACTCTCACTTATAACATTCAGTCCAGTAGTTCAGTATTTTCAGCCCAGGTTTGACTTCGTTCAAAGTCGTCATGGTTTATTCTGCGACTGTTTAATCCCATTTCACCACATTCTCTCCGTTTGAGGGAATTATTCTGTGACAGATTTATTCGTTCACGGTGACGGCGCCTTGTCTCTTATGGACTCCACCCAATATTTCCCCTCCTCCATGCTCTTCCTCTCCAAGAGTGTTATTCCTGCTCTGTCATGGATGAGCTGCCATGTCAACAGCGTGCCGTGGATTTCCTGCTGCCGGCTCCAGCATTTACGTCTGGCAACGAGACGAGCCGGTGGGTGTAGATGCAGCTGGGGTCGCTCTTGTTGTG